AATATGCCATGTTGTCTTTTCACTTTGTTTTACATTAAAATAAATACACATAAGGTTGTGGCAAAGACCTGGAACAGGTTCGTAGCGACGTTTCAAAAGTGGGGGAAATCCCCCCTCCCCCCAAAAAATCTGACAAGCCAAAAAAAAAACCCTCTTAACTACCAAAAAGTGGGGGAACGCGGAGGACGGGGGGGGGGGGCTTCCGAAATTAATGTGATCAAAAAAACTTCATTAACTGTCCAAGTCAAAAACCTAATTAACTGTCCAAGTCATGCAGTTTGCCAAGTCAAAAAGCTAATCAACTGTCCAAGTCATGGAATTAATTATGGAATTTGCCAGTGCTCGACCTTACAGCGACAAAAAGGGGGGGGGGGCACCAGTATCTGAAGGAAAATTAAATATAGCAAAATACTACACTCAGAAAAAGTGGAGGGCCGGGGCCCCCTAGCCCCACCGCATCCTACGGGCCTGTGGAAATTTCAACAATTATGAAATCATATATTATTAAAATATGGATAAGAGATTTTTGAAAATTTATCAGCTGTATTGAATTTATAATTTCATAACAGAATAATCACTTCTAACTGAATTAAATTTCTTGGCATTCAAGCAGATACATGTATTACAATACATGTATTACACTTTGGACATACAGTTTAACATTGATATCGATATGATGATGTACACAGTCCATGTAGAAATACGCATATACAATGTACAACAATTCCATTAGCACACACATTCTCAGTAAAGGTTTGCAAAAGCTTAAAATTTTAGTCAATCAAGTATTTTTAGATTATCAATAATATAAAATATATATTAATTTCTTGTGATCCATATTACAGGCAAGCAGTCTAGTATATTTATAAATTTCTGAAATATTTTCATTTAATAATTTCCAGTCGGGATCAGATTTATTTAGATCGGAAAAGGTACAAATTTCAACATCACCATCTTTTTCTTTTAGACGTAGTAGTTCCGTTTCAATTTCTGTTAGGAATATGATCATATTATATTTACATTTTTAAAATATTTTTCCTCAACATCTTTTGCAAATTAAAAAAAGTTCATGTTCTCATGAACTACCGTGGGATGAGTAAGAATATTTCCATTGTGATGTGATTAAAGTCAACCATTTTAGTGCAAAATTTGTTTTCTTTCAAAAATGATCGTTGAATGACAAAAATATGTGGCAAATCATGAGAGAAATAATGTAAATATAAGATATGAATTTAATTTTTGAGAATTCATGAGGCACATGAACTACACCGCTTCACGCCTGCATATTTATCATAAAGCGCTAACGCGCTTCATGAAATACGCCGGCCTACGCGTGAAGCGTCGTAGTTCATGTCCTCATGAATTCTCAAACACTCTCAATTCTTAAACACATGTATTTCTTTTATAGATGCAGGATGTTTCTTGAAGATTTCATCTAGATATAATGATATTAACAAGTCATGACTTCCATATTCATAAATATTTTTAGATAAGCAAAATTTCTTCTTCTTGATACGTTTTACGAGTATAATAATTAACAAATACAAATTATCAGGGACCCAGTGTGTGTGTGGGGGGGGGGGGAGGGAAAGGGGGATAGATAATTGAGTAACCAAAATATTCAGCAAACTTCGACAGTACAAGAAAACAAATACTGAAAGTGTTGGTCAGCCTAAATTACAACTTAGTTTTTAACACAAAACACCATTACTGGAGAAAACGGTAAGGTTGCAACCCCCTCCCCCATACTACGCCTGACTGCTTTTTTTTAAAAACTCGGGCACTTCTTAATATCTTACCCAGTTTCACAATTCAAAATTCTTACAAATTTCTAGCTCATCAAACTTTTTTACGGAAAAAAGTCTGCATCCTCGTTAGATTTTACTGCCTTTCTATTTACCTACATATCATATATGTACATGAATAGGTATTTTATCGTATAAGTACAAAATAATTATTTTTTAAATCTCTTTTTGATCAAAACACTTGCCACTTTTTACAAGTTGTGTACAGACTAAGAACTTAAGCCTACTCATGAGGAGGCCCAGATTTAAGCTTAACTTTAGTCTCGACTAAGTCTGCGCCTTTTTGTGAAACGCTACTTAGTCTGATTTTTGGGTTTAGTCACTAACTCAGTCCGGACTAAGCTTACGCCTGGTCGTAGGCCTTTTTGAGAAACGAGCCTCAGGTGTCAAGATTGGAACAAACTTGAATCTACACTTCCCGAGGATATTTCTATTATAATATGACTAATCATGGCTTTGCTGTTCTTAAGAAGACTTTTAAAGACATTTCCTATATATTCTTATGTAAAACTTCGCCCCCCTATTGTGGCCCTGTCCTACTCCGGGGGCTATATGAACAAACTTGAATCAAGAGTATAATGAAGCTTTCACATTAGTTTCATCTTTTCTTGCCCAGTGGTTCTTGAGAAGATTTTTAAAGGATGTCACCAAATTTTCGCGAATTCTTAATTATCTCCCCTTGAAAGCATTACCAAACAAACTTAAATTCCCTTTACCCAAGGATCCTTTGTGGCAAGTTTGGTTGGTTCTTCAGAAGAAGTCAAAAATGCGAAAAGTTTACAGACTGCAGACAGACCCTCTTTGATCAGAAAAGTATGGTGTCCGGATAGGGCCATTTGCAAAAGCTCAACAGCGCGTTCAGAAAAACACGCCGTCGCGCTAACACACAACATGACATCACGCTAACACAAAATTCGCCGTCGCGCTATCACAACATTGAACAACACGCTGTCACAAGTTCGCACAACACGCCTTCGCGCTAACACACAACACGCTGTCACGCTAACACAAGTTCGCACAACACACCGTCGCGCTAACACACAACACGCTGTCGCGCTAACACACAACTCGCGACGGCGTGTTGTGTGTTAGCGCGACAGCGTGTTGCTTGAAAGCGTGTTAGCGCGACAGCGTGTTGTTTGAAAACGTGTTAGCTCGATGACGTGTTTTTTTGAAGGCGCTGTTGGGCTTTTGCAAATGGCCCTATCCAGACACCATAGAAAAGCCCACATGAGCCTTCGGCTCTGTAATCACTTTTTCTAAATATGTTGAAGAATGGACCCGGATCAAAGTGGACGGAAAAGAACAGAATGATGCAACTGCAGCGCAATAGGCCCTTAAACAGGTTAGAGATCTAATGATGTTAGGAAATATACAATTTTAAATTGGAGCAAAAGCAGAGTTTGTAAAAAAAAAAAGTGATTTAAAAAATGGGTGTAATTAAAACTGCATACAATATTATATTAATTTAGAATTCTCACTGTGTTTGTGTTGGAAGCTTAAATCAATTTCTCCATCTTGTAAACTTTTACTCCCTCCAATAGCTGCATAAACATTCCAGAGACCTTCCTTATTCATACACTCATCAAAGAAGACAAATCTGATTTGTTTTTGGTTTTATTAAAAACAATTAACAATACCTTATTGCTATACAGAACGTTGTCAATAATTTCCATACTTTAAAGTGGTCAACACTGTCATTTGTCAATATACTATTCTAAAACAAATAGAAAAATATTGTTACCATGGCAACAACTAAAAGATGCTTGCCAGTTTAACAGAACTGGGTTTAACAATATACTGCATATCTACATCTAGTAGTCTTGGCATGATTAGTAACTGGAGAATTAGCTGCACAAAAAATAAGTCAGCTTAAAATGCAAGAAATAACACTGGAATATGATGCATTTCTTTTTAGTAATTTGGCAGCTATGAATAATAATTTCATAGGTTTTAATTACCAATTTGATTTAGAAATAAAATTCTAAAGTTTTCCACATTTTTCTTTACAAGAAAAACTGACGATAGAGGCCACCAATAAATTAATGTAACACATCCTAATTACTTAATGAGTTACTTAATTACGGTACATCTTCTCAACATCGCTGTAAAGATTTATAAATATCAAGTGATACTCAATCTGACTTAACAATACATACATATACATGAATTTCAAAACAACAAAAAATTTCACCTTTTTATTCAAATAACCAATTAACCTGGTATATAATTTTATGTTTGGATTTATATATTATGCCTTTTTTCCATTGACTTGGTACAATTACAGTACGACTTATCATTAAACATAATCTCAGAAACGTGTGTTTTCCTTGATTACAAATTTGGAGACATTTGGAGTTGATTTTTAATTATAGATTTTCAAAATACACTCAGTGTACGAAAGATTTTTCAATTCTAAAAATTGAAAATTTAACCTATTTATGCCTTGGAAAATGTTGTACATATGGAAATTTTTAACAAAATAAGTACACAAGCACATTATTTTCAATTTAAAAGAATGCATTTGAATTTCAATATTAAAGTATTTGTGTCATATTATTGATTTTAAATTGCTATTCGCCTGTCTTTTATATCACAGATATGGAGATCTACAAAGCACTCAAAAAACTGCACTTAATGCAAGTAAATTATTATTTCACTTTCAAGCATGACTTTTTATACATGTATGTATGATAAATACGCAAGCTCATGTACATTCCAGGCTAAATGATATTTACAATGTAACTTTTGCATCGACATACATTCTTGTTCAAAAACAGGTTTTCCTTTTACAAACAAAAAGCACTGACAAGAGATTCATAAAAAACCTTACTTCAGTCACTTCTGTCACACACAGTAATTCATACAATAAAGAAAAATTTTTACATTAAAAAAAAATCTGTAAAAAGAAAAACAAAAAACACTGGATTTCTGGGGGGGGGGGGGGGGTGGTGTCTAAGCACTAATACCGGTAATCTGTTTTTATTTTATCTTCTTAATTTTTTTTCCCCTTTTTGTACTTTAAATATATTAAATTTTCTTCTTACTACTTTTTTCTTTTGGTTATTTTTTCTTTTCTTTATTTAATCTTTTTTTTTTATTTTTAATTATCTTTTTTTTTTTTTGTAAAATTTTTTTTTTTAAATTTACTTCCTTTTTTTTTTTTTTTTTTTTTTGTGTTTTTTAAAAATGATTTTTAACTTTTTTTTCCCGATTTTTAACTTTTTTTTTCCTTCTTATTTTTTTGTTTTTTTAAAATTCATTTTTGGCAATACATTGAACACACAAATGAAGGACAAGATTTTCTATAAAATGCCTTAAAATGATCCCCCTTAGCCAGCATGCACACATACTCAAAAACATTAAATAGTGAACTCTTAACTCAATAAGGGACTAGATTTTTTTGTCTCAAAGGAGTAGAGAGGTTAGCTAATGACCCGGTCACAATCATCTATGATGCCATAATGCAAACTAAATTTCCTCTTCTGAATAAAAACATAAAATGCAATGTTAAATTGGAAAATAATAAAAGTACTCTAATAACTGAAAATACTGCTGGTATGAACATGTTAACAAGCTTAAGATAATATAAAATACTGATATGAAGTTAAGCTTGAGATCTTTAGTTGAACCTGTAAGCAGTTAGCTAATATAGTTGACAAGAATTTTATCTCTTTCCCGTTTTCTGTACACCCACTTCAGTGAATAAATACTTTTCTTTATCTTGAGGTAGTGAATGTGATGTCACATAACTAAACAAGGTAATAAGTTAAATTAGACCTTCAGTCTGAGGTAGCAAAGGTCTTATATATTCCAGTTACATTCATTATAACTTATAGCACTAGATGAAAACTCATTATAACTTATAGCACTAGACGATAACTTGTAGCACTAGATGAAAACCAAGAAAAGGATGACTAAGGAATGCTAGTTATTCACAACACAAATCACCAGATGTGAATGATCACCTGCAGCACTGTTATATAATTCACGTTGTCATCTCTACAGTTTCTCCCCCCCTCATATCGTGAACATTAGTAGGTACATTGTAAGAGCGCTGATCGCTCCCGCCACTGGCACAGTTCCCACCCAGGCTAGGATGATGTTTCTGAAGAGCTTCCAGTCCACATTCTGTTTTGATCGTACCCTACCCACGGATACAACAGAGCCAACTTTGCAATGCGTTGTACTGATGGGAATGCCTACATTAGAAGCCAACAAGACTGTCAGGGCTGACCCAACCTCAATACAGAACCCACTGAAAAATAAGCAAATCAAATGATCATATATATCCATAATTATATCCTATTACATCTATCATCTATCCTTTGTCATGTTACTATCCATCATTATCCTACTACATCTATCCTTTGTCATGTTATTATCCATCATTATCCTACTACGTCTATCCTATGTCATGTTATTATTATTCTTCATTATCCCACTCCATCTATCCTATATCATTATGTTAATATCATCTCATTATCTTAGACTTAGAAAGAAAGGATTATATTAATAGTTTTAAATAAAATTTCCTATTACTGGTACAAGTAAATTACATATCCCACTTGTGATGTACTCTGTCATACCTGGAAGGTGTTGTTTTGGCGAGATCCTCCCCTAGGGTTTTGATGACTCTTCTTCCCCACACCCACAGACCTATGGTAATCCCCACACCACCATAAACCAAGATCCAGATAGGAGTCTGAGTTTTTTGAGCAGCACTTCCCTCTGAAGCAATGATCCACAAGGCAACCAGAGGTCCAATGGAATTACTGTTAACAGCCAAATATCAGGTATTATTCTGACTCAAATATTTATAATTGAAGAATCTGTTAAATACATGTACAATACGTCTTATATGTCTATAATATATTCATTATCTAACCTGTTTTTTTTCTTTTCCAAAAAATAAGACTATCTGAATAATTTTTTATCAATCACACAAGAAGTGAACTGTTATCTCAGAATTTGTTTTCTTGGTTACCAACCATTGATAAAGACCTTACCTGACATCATTTCCCCCATGAGCAAAGGATCCAAACACTGCTGTAAGGATTTGTAGGAATGAGAAAAGTTTGATCGTTTCTGGTTTGTCCGTTACTGCGCTTCTGGCTACCTCTAAATCGACCTCAATCTGCAAATACCAAAAGGTGTAATTTAGTAAGAGTTGTCTCTCTTTACCTGCTATTCCTAATACCACGTAGACATTGATGATAAAATACTTCACCTTAACATCAGCCACACTTTCAATGCTATCACCAGGTGTACCACTTTCTTTGGAATTTTTATCTACAATCAAAACATCTAATAAGTTATCTCATGTCTAGAGGGAAAATTAAGTAGCTGGTAATCTGTCAATGTATTTCTTGATTCAGATTCCTAATGATTTTGAAAGTTCTTTATGATAAAATTTTGCAGTGAATGCTAGGGATAATAAAAGGCAAGGAAGGGTAATGTTTGTTTGGAAAAGGTTGAAAAACTGAAGAAAACAATGCAAATGATTAGAGAATGTGCTGGTTTGGGGGGTTTAAAGGAGACTTGATAAATTTCAACCATTAGTTTCCATGGTGTGGTACCCTAGTAAAGATAAACAATCAACTCTTGATCACTACTGCTGAATGTAAAACTACAGGGATAAGAATTATTCCAGCTAAACACAATGGAGGGTTGTCTTACCTTTGGCAGAGACAGGTGAACACAGCAGGGGTGCAGAGGAATGGCAAGATGTGTCAGACTCCGGGGTGGAAACTAAAAAAAACACAGATACTTAAAATACAGACAACAGTCAAATATCACAAACAGGTCACAGAGCAGGGTGTCAAATCAATCAACTACTGTAAACCATCTTATCTTTGCAATATCTGCAAGTTTCTTGACTTTCTTTTACTCTTGAATATTTCTAACTGCCAACCATTTATTTGTGTGTATATATAGGTTTTCTCAATAAACTTAAACTTATAAATTCCTAATAAAAAGTTGCTGGTTTACAGTATTCCGATCAGATTTTTTTTTCTGAATGACTTTAAAATCAATATTTAATGAAATACAATAATGTAATGAAGGATAAAAACTGTGCAGATTGAATAAGAAAAACAATTGTTGCAGTTACATATGTATGCAGTGAATCAATGAAGACCATTGAATATTCTTGTGTATATAATTCTCTACTCTATGGGATGTGTGGTAACTTACAATTGCTAGGGATTTTGGACTGAGGGGTACTAGGATCTTTTTCTATCACATTTCCGTTTAGCAATGAAGGAGTCAACAGCTTTTCACTGAGAATTGCTAAGTTTGCTGAAAATGAAAACATTCCAAACTAAGAAAGCAGAGAAGTCACTAAAATGTTCTACAGGAAACAAGTCTGCTCTTGGAAAAGAAGAAATTTCAACTGTATAAAAGAAACTATGACACATAAAGCCTACATGTATCTTCAAGCAAAAAGATATGTGCACAAGTTTTAAAAAGTTCTTGGCATAAACAAAGAAACACAACACACACAACACTCACCACCCATGGGGAATTTCTTTCCACTTGGAGAAACTTCCAATTCATTTTTTCCTGAAAAGCAATACAAAGAATTATTAGGTAATGTAAGGTAACTCCAAAGTATGGTTAGTATATACTATATACTTACTTACTCACATGTCACACCTGAAAAGAAGATAACTATTAAGAGAGCATAGAGATCAATTTTCTTATCTCTATGAAATACTACCTCCCTACTACATCTTACTGAACCCTATTCTGGGATGGCCAATTCAGCCAATTAGAGATGCCCTATCTTTTTCATCCAATCAGAAAACAGCTGGCATATCTTGTCAGCAAATCAGATATTCTCTTTCAGACAACAGGTGTGCCCTTACCAATATTCTCCTTATTCTCATCATCTATCAACTGGCGTCTGGAGACGTCATCATTGTCCACTGTTTAATAAAAACAGAGTCAAGTTATACAACTTGTCTATCCCCCCACACACATGTTGAGCTTTAAGTCCCCAAAAGTTAGAAATGTTATACTTACATGTTGTTTCCATGTCTTTTCCTTTCTCAGTCTCCTCAACTTGACACTCTTCTACATATTCTGAAAAAAATCACATAAATCATTGTAAAATGATCAAATCTAATCACATCTGGAATCTCTCTCATTGTTATGTGCTTGGAAGTCAAGTATGGCTGTTAAGTGTTTCACTTACTTTGGATTTTTTTCCTGTACCAGGGAACAAACGCGAGCCTAATAACAACAGCTACAATGAGGGCGGAACCAAAGGTGATGATGAACACGCCATACAGTGGTATTTTATCAAATTTTAGCACTGAAAAAAAAAAGATATAATAAAATCTCCAATGCAACGCTGGAAATGTAAATTATTCAATGCAGAGGAAATAACTTGTGCTCAGAAAATCAATACTGCCGATTACAGTACATGTATTTGTAATTTGTTTCTCTTCAGTTCAGTTAGAATGCACACACAGCATTTACTGACAATATAAATATGTTCTTTTTCTTTCTTCCATACATTTCTAGTTTCTCTCTCCTTTTATTACTTCAGCACTGCTTTAACTACTTCCTCATTTACACATTAAATTGCACCATTCAAAATTTTGTATAAGACTCAATTGTCATTACACTCATACAAAAGACTTACATGAGGATCCTTTATAGAACACAGAGAACAAGTTGATAGCGGCAGTGAGGGCGTAGAACAGGGGGAGGACTCTCAGGCCTGGCTCCAGGGGCTTCTCCTTGTTTAGCACCAAAAACTTAATGGCCAGGAAAACCAGAACACTGATGATACCAGAGAGGAGGGGGGAAATGAACCAAGAACCAACTGTTGGAGATAAAAATAGATTTTCTTAACCTTAAGAAACCAAAAGATTATCAAATTTAATTTCTTTCCTGTGGGATAACTGCAAATGCTATTCTTTCAGATGTTAAAGATCCATAAACAAAGTTTTATCTTCTCTTTAAGCAACAAAATAAACACGAGGAGACAAAGAATTTTTTTTTGTAGAGAAGTGCAGTATTTACATTTAACAGTGTATAAATTTACATTTTAAGATATCTGGAAGTATCTATTGTGAATAGAAATCGTACCAATGAATCCCATCTTCATCCAGTTAATCCCCTTATGGCCATGGGCCACCAAAGCAAACCCTACAGTGGCCCCCACAATGCTATGGGTAGTAGAAACTGGGAGCTTCAAGATTGTGGCTACAAACAGCCATATACATGAACCTGGAAACCAAATTACACCATTCATTAAAATATCTTTGTTAAATGTTTAGAAAAGGATAAATCCCTCTATAAAGCCTGACAATGGTTTTTAAGCAATTGTTACCCGCATTTTGCATTGTGGCAGGTGCTTGTAGTAATCATTTTGTTATATCATGAAGATGCAATTCGTTTTACAAGACAATATTAATCTTTTTTCCAAGAGAATTCCAAAAATACTTCATTACCCATGAAACTAGGGAATGTCTATACATTTCTAAACCTCAATACAATTGGCAATGGGTATCCTTGTTAACTGATGCACACGCTATCTGATAACATTGATATATATTCTATATACTAAACAGCTGTGCCTTATCAGGTAAAAAAAAAATTGTTTTATAATATAGACAAAAAATTGACATGGAACAATTAAATAAATAAAGCATTTTTCGTTCATCTAATAAATCAATGAAAAGAAACGATCTGAAGATGTGAACACTTTCAATCAGATCAGCTTTTTGGATAATTATCAGCTCCAGATGTGAAGATTTTCTGAATACTTGGCACTCTCTCACCTACACACAGTTATATCAAGCCTGCAGTCAGCAATACCCCACTTACGTTGTCAGTATTTATAAACAGCCTTATCATACATACTTTTTTTTAAAGTCAAAAGGTGGTCAAGTGATTTGACAAATCTTGGGTGCATAATCTCTCTCTTCCTTTTAAATTTCATAAAATCAATGACTGTTTGCCACATACTAAACATTTCCATCATAATAATTTATTTTGCTTGCAGTGCATATTTACAGCAGGTCTTGCGCGTTAGTGTTACCTGTAAGAGCTGCCACATTTCCCACCATGAGTGTACTCTCTGTTCCGTTATATAGATCTACATCTATAATGCCTTTACGTATCGTGTCTGACACACGGTAACCTGACCAAGAAAAAAAAAAATTGACTGCTGACATCAGCTATAAACTGCCATCTTTCTATTTGATGTTTATAATGTGAATTAGCAATTGTTCTTCTAGAATCAATGTTCATGTGTATATAATTTAAAAAATCCATCTTTTTGTATTTTCAACAAATTACTGTATCTAAATCTCATTACGTGTATCTAAATATCTTTCATTCATTTTCTTTGTGTACACATATTTCAAAAACAAGAACTTTCATACAATACAGATTTTTTTTATGTTAAATCTTTGTACTATTTCCCCTGACCATCTGACAATTTATTATTAAAGAGTAATTCTCACTCACCAATAAGAATGGCTCCCAAGATCTCAAATATGCTCCCCAAAATGCAGGCCTGTCGCAGAGTGAGGACTTTGGCTCCAACAGATGTTCCAAATGAGTTAGCCACATCATTAGCACCAATCGCAAAAGACAAAATGAAAGCAATGATAAAGCCTACGATTATCATCCATAGGTATTCGTCTGGTATTGACACCATTTTTCTCTGAAATAATCAGAAAACATCAGGTACATCATATATTTGCATAAACATCCAATATATTTCATAGTCCTCAGATCTGTAGTTTTCCTCGTTTAACATGATGTAAATTTCCTCCTTTATAAAAATAGCCAACTATTCTTACCTTCACAATCTTATCCTGTTTCACCCTTCAAACTAGATACACAATCAGTCCCTTGTTTTCCTTTGTTGTTTACTTTCTGATTATACCTGAAATGAAAACAAAAACTTGTTAATAATAATCTTGATTCAATCCATGTTTGGAATAGACAGGAAACTACTGCCTCTATCACAAATGAGACTCAAAATACAGGTACACTTTGTATACACATCCCCCATACTTCCTTCTGTCTGCATTAAAATTATTTGATAAATTAAATTAAAATTTTTTTGAAAAATTGCCAAAAGACAATTTTCCATCTATTTTATAAACATAAACTGTAGTAAAATTATTTTTCTCTGATAGTTTAAATTTTAATTAAATCAGTAGAAAAAAATATGAACCTGCAAGACAATTTCTAATTAAAGAGTTACCCAGTGTTGTTGGTACTGAATGATTTTATAAAGGCAATATAAAACAAAACGTAATGCTTTTTACTTATAACAGCAAGGTAACACAAGATTTATGTTTATATGATAGCGTTCATCTGTTGATATCACACATTACCTATTTCTTTAGATATAACTGCTAACTTTTACTGACACACAGTTAAAGAATTATTCTAAGTCAATACTGTCAGGTTTTACAGGAAAAAAATCTTTCATTTATTGATGTCAAAGAGTAACAATTATCACCATGCATTCTCTTTTAAAATATCAAACTTTTTTTTTTTTTTTAAATTTTTGATAATTATCAGCATGATCGAAGTACTCTCTTATCAAACTAAATTAACAATTAAAATACTCTTTTATCAAGTATTTCATACTGACATATCTTTATATATTTGTCAAATCTATATTTCTGAAATGATACTGAAAGTATACTTTTTTTCGAATTTTTTTTTTAAGGAGGAGAGGGAATTGTACATCAATTAATACATGTTTTTAATTAATATATGTTTAAATCATAAAAAAATAAACTTTAAAAAATACAATCAGCATTGTGGTAACTTTTATCTTAATTAATAAACTAATTTGCTTTGCATCATACTCGGAGATATCCTTAGATAATTTATTAAACCATTAAATAATTAAAGATCATTTAGGGGGGAAAAATGCCCTAAGTTTATAGGAAATCATCGGGGTTTTTTCCTAACTGAAAAAAAAAATAAAAAAAAAAACTTATCAACATACCCACGACTCTCGTCTCTGGCATTCAATGTAATTTTGTGCCCGTTTTAACATTGCGCCAAGTGACGAGCGGGATTTCGCACGCGCCAGATCGCTTCCAACCAATCACATTTGAGTGTATTGTTCATGTTTCACTCATGATCAGTAAATACTACACTATCACTCGTACATATTTTTTAAAACTAATAGAGAGAAACACGCAAGTTTCTTTGGATATTAAGATATTTAATTCTGATCACTATAACCATATGTTGTGGTTAGAAATCTATAGAAAGATTGAGAATACAATGGTAATTACATGTAGTTCCGTTTTCCTGTCTTGTTTCAAATGAAACCAAAAAAATCTTATCTTTTGAGGAACATAAAAACCTCCAAATTAACCAACATTATCAAAGAAATAGACGTAAAAAGTTGTTTTATTTATTTTGATTGCATAAAACTAAAAAACATACAAAACATGACATGTCCCAAGTCGACAAAATTCGACTGTCGTAAACCCACGTGGTTCTTACTATCTTACGATTGAGGTCAAACTCTATCCCATAGATAAAAATTTACCTGATGAATGTCATAGAAGAATGCTAATATTTACAATAGTTACCAAAAATATCACAACCTAAGGAATTTATCTTACCTTGATACAGATAAAATTAAAAGATCTCCTAAATGCCCACACCGGCACACGAACTATCGACTTCTCGTGTTTGAAGAGCGCATGCGTATATGTTAATAAGCAAAGTTATGAATGAACTGCAACAAACCGACTTTGTCTGGATTAGAATTTTCAAATAGATGAGAATTCGATCCCTAGTCTGACCTCTGATTAACCCTCCCTATTTTATTTATTTATTTATTTTTTGAGAAAAAAGTGAAAAAAATATCGTATAGAATCAGGGACCTATACTAAGTATAGAATGAAGTCTAGGTACAGATTTATAAAAATGCCTCATAAACAGATGAATAAAAAGTCAAAGTAAAACCATTAAGAAAAAATAACTGACTACAATGGAAAAAGGGATCGGCGACTTAAAACATCACCACTGACAGGAAACAAATCTTAATCATTATAAATCTTCTTAACTAGAAAGCTGTTATATGTTTAATCGGAGAGATCGAATGGATTAAATTTCAGGTTGATCGCAGAAAATGTTTTATTTACAGGGATAATCCTCGCGTTCTTTTATATTTTGTAACATACAAACAAATGACGTCGATAATTTTCTACATAGTAACTAGAAAACATGTTTTGTTAAAATTCTCGCACACATATGTTAATTATCATGCATGAACTTTAAATGCCGAATGATTTTTTTTTAATTTAACCGTTGATATGTCAAGACATAGAAAAATATCGATCTTTGGAATTAAAAAAAATGATCTAGATATATAAGCTTCTACAATCTGATTCTATTGTCAAGAAAAATAACCGATGATTTAAAAGATTACAATTACACAAATATTCTTCTTTAAAATTTTTAAATTACCCCCTTCTCTCTCTCTCCTTCGGCTAACTTGGTGAAACTCCACACCCATATGTTTTGAGATATTTTTCATATCGTTGAGGACATTCGGTGCTCATTGGAGAGAGAGAGAGAGAGAGAGAGAGAGAGAGAGAGAGAAAAGATCGATGGTAATTGTACTCATCACTGTTGTGTCATATCGGACTTGGCATTATATTGCAGCTACTTTTGTCAGAAATGGAATCCCCATTTATACATTACATGCGTGCATTTTTGTCAGTAAATATGTTTTATTTATTTATTTATTTTAGCCATGTGACACAAATAGATAGGCCTTGTAGACTATTATCTGGATAAAATTGTGTGAAGAAAGTTCTTAAACCATGCATACGCCAAAATGCATGATGAGAAATTAGGACAAAATTCGAATAAAATTTAACTCTAGTCCAAAGTCTTATGCAATACTTGTGACATTATATGTAGTTAGGAATTTAAACCGTTAATTTGTAGTCTTCAGACATGCTCTTTTAATTAAACACAATGGCAAAGATTAATCATAAACAGCTTTCCTTATATAGTGGTACAGTAAATAATCTTGTTTCAGTTAGACAAATGGGTAACTCGAATGTTTTAATTATCAATGTGGAAAAAAGTTTAATATTAAAATTATATTCATAGACTCATGTTGTATGTGATTTTATTTTTGATGCCCTTTTCTTTAAATCCTACATGTATATACATGTAGTTGATTTTTCCCCCTCTGTTAATATTGATAAGGTAAAACATCGTTTTTTCTTGCAGACATGTCGTTCTCCGTTTATAAAGTTGGAGTAAGTTAGCATATATAATACAAGGCTTAACCTGGGGGAAATATATCCTTGAACCAAACCTGCAACATGAATTGTATTATGTGTATTTCACGCAAACTACATGGTAATTTTATATATATGCAATTGACAAGCTCTTATTTTAGTTCTAAATGCATTAAGTGCAAATGTATATTGTTTTGCAGGACTTAGATATATTTAAAGACGTTTAAGGCTAAAAAAGGTCAGACGAACGTCAAACATTACATGCCTTATAATTACTTTACGTAATGAATTATGACATTAGCTCTCATTTCTGGACTTGAGAGAAGCCAAGTAATAACCTTTCTGCTAAAATGTTACGTTTCGTAGAAAAATAGTAATTATGGCAGAAAAAAAAATCTTTGATGTTGACTCTGGTATGTTCAGAAGACATCTCGGTAAACACTTGTACAATACACAGGTTCGAAACTAAACACACATCTCAGAACCAAATATTTAACGACATTGAATTATGAATTTATTTTCTTGACTTAATTGATTAAACACAAACACAAAACATCAATACAATGTGAACTTTACAATAAAGGATGGTCGAAGAAGTTTTTAATTCAAAAATCCAGGATCGGTTAATTGAACAGTTGATTTTCGCCCCTCCCCCCCCCCCCCCCCTTCGCTATCATTATCTATTAATATTAAGATAAACACATCCTTCAGTAGACTTTAAAAACTCAGATTTTATAATTGATGAAGTATGCTTTCTCTTTTAATTTTTATAAGCATTTAAAAATTATCTTAGATAGAATTAAAGAAAAGAAAAAAATAACAATAAAGTAATCAATATGAAATTAAAGCAAATTTGAAAAAAAAAATTATTTAAAAAAAAATTAAATTACCACATAATTGATAAATTTCCGCATTCTTATGAATAATTTTTTGATTAATGAATGAATCCTTTAATTTTAAATTAACATTTTGGATTTAAAATTTGGTTATAAGCTATAGGTTATACGCTCATTTTTGTATTCAAAAGTTGGTTTTAAGCTAGATTATACGCTATGTTAAACATGCCTACCTCTGTGTGATGAGACAGATGGCAGTAATGCGACAGAACAGCATGTGCCAGCGATTTTATGAATGAAAATATACATCACGAGTGAACCACGAGTGGAAAATACATCTATTTCTAAATTAATTTACATAAACTGCAGTTATAATTTGTGTATTGCATTACAGAACATTAAATATTTTGACAATTAAGTATTGTACACATAAACATGGAGAATACTTTGAGTAGCAACGGTCCCTCACTCTGCATGACAACGGCTCCCCTTCCCCTCCCATAGAAGATTTATATATCTATATTCTTAGTCAAAATTGTGATGATTCTGAATAATTTAAGACTTTTAAAATCTTCAGAAATTTCGAAACCATGTGAAAATCTTAAGTTTTCGGTACCAAAATAAAGTTAATCAAAATGAAATATGCATGGACAAGGCACGGAAGCAGGACTCAAGAGTCCATACGATAATTGATCTTAAACTAAGTCTCCACTCCCTTATATCATGTGTATATATAAGGTGAGATGGTTAAGGGGACCCGTAGGAAGCAATTTCAGTTCAAGAAGGGGGGGGGGGGGCAAACAGTACAGAAATTAAAAAAAATCTTTGACAAGGAAAAAAATAAAAAGTTACACTGTCGGGGCACTACAGAAAAGTCGTTTTACTTTCTATAGTATAGCATGTCTAGGAAAAATTATTGGGGTACCCCCCTCTCGCTGCACCCCTGGTTCCTGATACTCAGATGATCCTAAAACTGATACAAAAGTTTAAATTACTAATAAATAAGCAAAGACTTAAATTTGCTTGGACTTTGATACTTTGGTACTAACGAACCAGAAAATAAACATTTACACCAGATGCCCTTAAAAGCAATTACTGAAAAGCTTTATACAGCATTTAAAGCAAAACCATTCTCACGTTATCTACAGATTTGGAATACACGTCCTTGGATAAACTAGGTATATAAACATTCCCTCAGAATCTAAGACAGTGACCCAAAAATCAGGAAATATCAACATTGAAGAAATAAGATAACCGAGTGCTCGATTTACCTCGAATGACCCTTTTTACATCACATTATACGAAGTACAATGAGGTCAATACGATGATTTAGTTACCCAGGGAGTACAATATTTAGTGAATCTGAAGGTTGAGGTGAATATTGCACTTTGAAAGTCGCTAAATCATCGTTTTGACCAAGTAAAAAAAAAAAAGAAAAGAAAAAACATCAATCATTTTTTTAATTATATGTTACGCCCCAGTCGAACGCAGCGGGGAAAGCGAGATTTCATTGGACAATAAAAATAAACATAACCATTCGTAGACATTTAAGTTTTTGATCTAATTTTGATTCAAAGTTTATTTCGGGTATAGATGAATATGAATTTTTATGATTTCTAAATTGCTGGATTTCATCAGAGAGTTAGGAATTATTCACTCACATAGCAAAAATATTTATAAAGTTGACACAGGTGATTGGTAAACCTCACTTCATATTATATTATCATGGCCAGTGTATGTTTAACTGAGATTAGATTATTATAAGCCTATTTTTTTTTTTTTTTAAAAAAGAAATAATTTTCAAGTACTACATAAGTTGGGCTTTTATGAACCTTCGATACCTTAAAAGAAGCTGCAATCTTGACCTCAACTATTATGTAATATTACATAATTATAACCAATAATCTTGACATTTGCACTACTTAATCTGACAGACCAAAGGCGAGAGGACCTGACTTGAAATACTCCATTAAATTCTGATCGTGCGACGGAAGGTTTGAGCAATTATGTATATATTTAAAAGACTGGCTCCCAGAAAAGCGTTAAAATATAATGAATTCCAAGTATAAGACAAGTACATATATATATATTAATAGAACTGTCGGAGTGTCCCACTTAACAAATATTAATCATATGTAAAATACTTGCAAATTACAATCTAGATGTTCCATAAAGTCTCTTAAAACGTTAAAACTATGTGGAACTATCACATATATGTACATTTTAAAATGAAAAGCACAAGCCAATATTTTTGTTCTCTCACACTGACAGCGTTTGAAATGTTGCCCCAAAATTATTTTTAACTAAAAATAAAAGTAATATTTACAGATCAGTTAAAAAGAATGGAGTTTTAAAACCAATTCTAACCTAATACGTAACAAATCAACCATTCATACTAGACGAATTATACATTTTATATTTATTCTTACCCCCCCCCCCCTTCCCGTCTCAGACCCAAATGGAAATCTTGGATCCGCCTCTGATTGCAATCTGTCAAAAACAAAAAATAAATAAATTTCTGAGAGACTTTGTATTCCTTTCTTTTTATTTGGTTAAGAGTGTCCATCTATCAGCGAGGGTAATAATTATAAACCAGTGCT